ACACAAGTATGTGTTTAGATACTCTAAGCAAAACATACTCCCCATTTCAAGCACCATCTACTGGCTCCCTAGAGAACCACCATCACTGCACTCTTACTCAAGTAGCCGTTAGCATCCTTTCCGACAGTAAGCAGCACACACTATCTAAGGTCTGCTACTGATCCTTAGACTCACACTAACACAACGAAGTCATCTGCAAACAAAAGTCTCCAAGTCTCCACCACTACTTAATTGATCAATCTCAGCTTCCTCTACGCCCTCAACACATGATAAAGACGGAGAAAACCAAATTGGAGATAAGCTACATCCTGAGGCTAAAGCCTCAGCTCACTCAAATGCCTCTGACCGTTCCCGGGGCATCCACACATACAGCTACGATCTTGAATACTCGTACATATTCCTCTTACCCAAATCGCACAACTTAACCACAGGCCGTGTACGCGCCCACACTATCGTTATGGCTTCGGCATATCTAGAAGAAGTTGCATATGTCTCCTTACCCTCCTCTTAGTCGACCCTGCACGAGTTCATTCCGCGTATAATATTATCAACACAACCCCTTCCAACCCTAAAACCAGCCTGGCCTTCAGTGCAATGCTTGACCCCGTCCAGATGCTTCACAACTATTGTTACTAATACCTTACAAAAGAACCTTCCCAACACACTCAGCAGAGTGATGCCTACAATTCCCAGGAGTCCCTTATCTCCCTTCTAACAGGTTTTCACTAGGAGGACCTCCTCACGTGGTGGCACCAAACTCTCACGCCAAATACGGTCAAAACCACTGTTAGTAAGGAACTCTACATCCCGGACCACCATGCTTTAGAAGCTCCCCCACAGAGCATTCACTACCACACAGTTCGTGTTATGTTTCGCTAAAAAACACACAATGCATCTATCTATAATTAAAACTGAAAAGCACTAAAGTGCAAACCCTCAGCGGACTGCGCACGTGCGGTACTGCTAATGGGGGGCTTGGCTGTTGGCGTTTACTCGCGGTCTCCCGCTAGTAGCTCGCATAGCTACGGGTAGTAGATAGCATGCGGGAGTCGATACACACCCTTCGCTGTGGCTTCTTGGTACACAGAGCAAGCGGATCAGGTCGAGGTGAGCCAGCCTACTGCGTCTAATATACGCATGCGCACCGCTTATGGGCCACGCAACGGGTTCCACGACCCTGCCAGTTTGTCGCACTCGAACGCAGTCGTTTCAGCAAAAATCACCATTTTCTTTTTCTAGCCCATGTACCGCTAAAGCTGTTAGTATCACTCATAAGCCACCTCGTAGCCTGTAGTGCGAGAATAGTCGTAGACAGACACACACACACACTCAGAGTAAAAACCACACGCATGCTCAGCCGCCCACACAATTATTGGTACTCACGCGGTGGTTGGAAGATGGTATGACCCAAGGCACTGTATCTTGTCTAATCTTGTCACAACAAGGCAGTAAGGATGTAGGTAAACTTCCTGTGCATGCATACTACCTTCTTTTACTGTCGCAACCTAACATAGGACGTAAAAAAACAGACAAACTGAACTATAGCATGATAAACTATTAAGCTTAGCAAGACAAGCCGACTGGAAGGTGTACATACCAGACTCCGTTAAGTGTGAGTGGTCCTGCCTCAGTGGTAGTGAGGCACAGGTCGGGAGATTAAAGGGACCGAAACCTGTGCCTACACGATGATCTGCTGAGGGGCTCCCCTGATGACTGGTGCTTATACAATGTTACTATAATTATACAACAACGTGACACTTAACATGGAAGGGCCTTGTTAAGCCTGCTATGGTCGGGCGGGAGATTGGGCCGTGGTGCATAGACATTCAAAAGCCCCACGCAAATGTGTACTGCGTGATCAGTGTATATACTTAGGCAAAGCTGAACCTGCAGTGTCTTCAATTGGGAGGTTGTGTAAAAAAGTAGTTCCCTAATGGCATAACTATACAAATTCAGCCGCTCCTGCTCTGCTGCTTAAAATGATCTGCATCTACCTAGCGAGGTTTGGATACTGCACATATATCACTAAGCTTACACTATCCATGGTATGTTAAAGCACTTTTTGAGATCCTTGTGAATGACTTTCTCCATATGTAGTAATTAATTAATTACCTGAATCATTTCCTTCTGGAAGAGTATAGGAAGCAGACAAAGGGCTTGGTGTTGCTTGTTGTTCAAGTGTAGATACATCCTATATAATACAGTGGAGTTTAACTTGAGCGGGAAAATGGATAGATATACTTGTGTTCTAGAGAGTCACTGTAAGTATAGTAAGTGAATTTTTCATGCGGATGTCGTCAAGAAACTACTAAGTGAAGTGCCTTATAAGGTGCGAGACCACATACGTTATTTCTATAGATAAAATAACTGTTTAGGGTGTTGGAAAATACATATTGTACTATCACTGACACAATATGTAATGTCATGGTTGTCTTTTGTAAGTTTCCTCCTTTATGGTAATTGTTAGATCTAAACAAGTTGATACACTAATTGCATGAGCACATGTGTTCTAGTCATAACTTTTAACCCACTACTACTCCCACAGGACAACACATTGAGTGCCAGTATTCCATTAAACCATACATCTTCCTCTTTTTTGCCTTCATAAGGTGGTTCTATCTCCTCAACTCCAGTCATCATACGGACAGGGTTATCATCGCAAGGATCTAGCCGGGAAAGGGCATCGACGCATTGTTTGCAGGAAAATATCATTCTACTACCTTTAATATCACTGTCCACTTGAACATGATTAGTAACACCATTGGTGCTGCTGAAAATTAAAGGACCGTCTCCGTTAGGGCTCTTCAGAGAAAGGGAGGATGATCTCCGTGTTTGGACACTCTCAACCCCTCCTCCTGCAAAACTGGATGATGGCTGAGGTTTTAGGCAGACGTCTTCTTTTAGTATGCGTCTGAGACATGGGTGCTATTCACAGTCAACAGCAAGAAAAGGTTTACTAGGTAAGTTGAAGATCACAAGTCACAAATTACCTTCTTCCACACCATCAAGAGAATAACTCCTGTCACCATTATGAACAGGACCACCAACACTAGTGCAACAACAACTGAGGGTGATCCATCTAGTGAAGAATGTGTTGCGATATATGGATGCAATGTAAGTAAAAAACAATTTTGGCGCACTTTAGTTTGACAGAAAAAGTATAGTCAACATGTCATGTATACTCTTGGCAATGACACGTAGGGATGTCCCGTCAAGGGAAACACAAATATAGAGACACAGATTTTTCATATCTCCATGCATCATCTCAACGGAGGAAAATAGTGTGAAAACTCTTAGTTGTGCTGACGTGTACGTAATCAGATTGCATTGTTTTGCACCAGCAAGAGGTAGCGAGTTCGAATCCAGCAGGTTGATTTTTATATCTTGATTTCCTTTTTAATTTCTGCTAGTGCACAGATTACACATTCATTCATTCTAGGAGTGAGACGTGCAAGTAGTCTTGGTACCAGCGTTTTCACAAGAAAGAATTTCTAACACTTCCAAAAGGCTATGTGACCGTCATGTGGTATTACGTAACAAGTCTAAGTGTTTAGTGGCAACTGTGCTGTTACGCTCTATTACAAAACAATTTTTTCACACCCCTGGTATTATCAGAAACCAACTAGCCAATTACCCCTCTTCCTTGTGATATTGGCTGGTACCAAGAATGATTGTGGTGGTGCCTGAACTTTAAGACCCACGTACTGGCAATTACTGGCAAGTGTTTCCTTGGCTCGAATATTTTGTACAATAAGGCTCAGGAATTACGATAACGGACGTAGCTATTTCCAATAAGCCCTTGGTACTAATGTATAAGTATTTTATACCACACAAGGATGTTTTTTATATCGCTGCTGCTAGGGCATATTGTCTATAAAAACATGGGCAAATGAAGAAGGTGGTACTCACGGAAGCCACGCCCTCACTTGAAGAGACAGGGTCTTGTACAATTATTCTTCTAGCAAAGTTTAACACCCACCCTGCATTATTTGGATGGCTGAATGGCTACTACGTTATGTCCGTCTTTTGAGGGTCACCTTTAGACTTTGTGTTAGGAGGATTATGCAACAAAAGAGCAACAAAGTAATACATGAATTTACCTGGCAGTGACGAAGTAGGTTCATCGTTTTCTACTGTGAAAACTCTGGTAATAAAGGGCCTTTCATCAATGCTTGTGTTGCCTATACTTTTGAATAGAGCAAAGGTATACTCTCCAGGTTGGAGTGTTACATCAGCAGGAAATGTATCGATGTGTTTCACAGTTGGGTTGTCATAAGCTCTGTATATGGAAACACATGATGTATTGTCCCCATCAGGAAAACAGTCAATGGTCACAGTTGATCCATGCTTTGACATACTGGTATTCTTCATATGCATGGGCTCCACAGCTGTATGATAAACCAATACAAAATAAAAAGTACGATATGAGAAGAGAAGACATGTTTACAATGAAAAAAATGAAATACTTGCAGCTTGTACCCAACAAAGCTTGCAAACAAGACATACGAATAGTATTTTGCTACAATTTAATATATAGTGTCGAAGTAGTCAATCCAGTACAATTGCTATACATATCTAATGTAACAGCCTCGTTCTCAGGCTCTTTTGCAGGGAGAAGGAGAAAGAGACTGGTATACATGTACTTTTTTAACATGCGTGTTTTAAGTGTTCCATAGCAAGCATCCAAGGGGTGTGTACAATGACAAACAATACATTTGGGCTCATAAGGCGATTGCACTAGACGTCATTATGACAAGACTGCTGCTTTCAAGTATTTCTGTAGTGTATTGTGCATGAGTCATGCTCAGTAGTGTATATTCAGTTTATGCAGACATGCAGAGCATTGTTATCTGTTACTTCATATTATGTTATGTCAAATTTATCCTATAAAAGCAGGTATTGTATGTTGTATGTGTATGTATAAGTACTTTGATACTAAACTGCTCCTCATTCGTACGTGTGCTAGCTGACTAAGTTTACTACAAAGTGGTTATGATGAAAAAGGCAATCATGTTGATATCTTTCCCAACTATATAGTAGAGGAGGAGGAAAGCAAACCCAAGCAGCAGCAGCAGACATCGCAACGGGATTACTATTGTCAGTAAGACTGTTGCCACGTTCGACCTGACGCAGGATGATTAGTGCGCGAATATATCGAACAACTCCAGTACTATTTTACAGAAAATGACATTACCTTATCTGAGAAACATTGAGCAATTCTACTCTGCAAGGTTGGAGCGTCCACCAATGAACTCATAGCTATGCATGCTGGTTGCGCCGGCAAAACTCTCTGAGATATCGTTCGAAGACTGTCAACAGCTAAGGCACATTTCAATCTGAACCTGTCCCCTTTAATAGGTTCAACACTAAGCGCCGAACAGAAGATGAGTCGATTTCTGTATACGAAGCGGAACTCCGAAAGCTCGCAGAATATTGGGCACAGCCCACAGCCCTGAGTGATGTAACGTGACTGTATTTTGTGGGAAATCCTCGACAGAACAATAGCATCGTCAACTTCAGTGGTCTGACCTCACCAATAACAAAGCTTTGGCCAGCATCGAACCGTTGAAAAATATTTCAGGCGTGTAAGCCCAGTGCCACCCACGATAAGATAGAAACAGCCCATCTCTCACACCACCTTCCGCAATTACAAGCAGTGGAAGCCTTTAACTCATTGCGCGCGTTAATGCGCATGCGTGGAATTACCGCGTCCGCGTGGTTTTTTCGAGTTCGTGCGTGCCGTTTTGTTTGCGTGTTTATACTTGGTGTAGGCCCGCAGACGAAGCCCAGATTCGTTCTTCGTGTGTTATAAAGCTTAGTGTCAACTTAGAGCCGCAAGGAGGCCACGTTTCCATGGCAGATCTGCATTCATCGCTCTTAGACGCGTATTATACGCGCGGAAGGTGGGGCAGCTGCTGCGCACACCAGCCCCGCCTTTTATTTTGTTCATGCGCAAACTGTGCGCCCACTCAAAGGTCAAAGGTGTAGCAAGGTCTGGCTGTGCCAGCGACTAGCGACGGCAACTAGGACGAAGAGAGTAGTGAGTGTTGCTACGCGTCTATATATATGCCGATCGCGTTGGCTAACATCCGCGTAACGAATCTATATATAGATCCGCCGCGCGCAATGAGTTAAGGGTGAGAAAAGACAACAAAACACTCTAGTCAGAGAAGAAGAGTGTTCCACGTATGTGTGGGGTAAACACATTGAACTGCCCACTCTATTATTAGTCAAAGAGGGCAAACGGTCCAACCCAACTAGGCGGTATCTGGATTGAGGCTCTACGACTAGACTGGCGTACCAGTTTCTGCATTGGAACAAATCTCACATTACTAAAGTACTTGACTGCTGAAGGAGCTGCCTGGTATATACTGCGGCAAACATCCATGCTGAGAAAAATGCTAAACCTTTGCTCGAGAAGGCCTGTTTTTCGCCTGTCAAAAAGTTAAACAAGAACATGAGTGACTGACTTCAGGCTCTCCGACCAGTCCAGTATTCGGACTGGGCACTACGAATCGTTTCGAAAACTGACACTGAAAGTGTGTGTGTAGAGAGTACACATGTTTGAGAGGCACCCAATCTCTAGCATTAAGGAACTCTTTCGGCTCACTGTCTCAAAGACAGCCATTTAAACCCTTTCTCTCATGCGTACCTCCAGATAACACTAGAAGGGCTGTCACGTCGATCGACATAAAAATCAGAATATTTGATGTCTCCCTTTCAAGCATTGCTTCAGCACCATGTCTGACAGTAAATCTTTTCCAGGGCATTCCTCGGGTACATGTTTACTTGGATGATTATTTAGTCACATTGAGCAAAAACACCTGCCAACCTCCAACTCATCCTTCAACAACTTGAATCAGTATGAATGAAGTTGAAATGTTCATAGTGCGCCTTCCTTTTGAACTCAGTTACATATCTGGGTCCTGAGATTAGTGCAGATGGTCTACGCATGTCCAAGTCCAAGGTCTAGGCCATTGTGGTTGCAAGGAACCTAACTTAATTGAGCTCCTTCCTAGACATTGTATACTTCTACGGTAAAGTTCTGCATAACTAAGTTGTCGCGTCAGACACAGGCTTGGAAGTCGAGGTAGCGGCAAAGGAAAGCTTTTCACCGGTAAAAGAGTTATTTCAGTCCAACAGTCCACAATTGTTAGAGGACAATCTGCATACAGCCTAGGTGGGTTTGTTTCCCACCGAATGGCCAAGGGGTATCTGGGAAACCTGTATGTTTTGCCTTGCATACGTTGTTGAAAGGCAAGACAAACTTTGCTCATCTGGAGAAGCAGGTACTTGCTATGTCATGACTATCCTCTTACATGCTTCTTCAACGAAAACAATCAGCAAGATCAACCTGATTCGGACCAAGAGTTGGGGCCATATGTTTGAATGAATGTGTGAAGGAATGCTCTGACTGTATATATTTCAGCCCAGAAGGACCCACAACTAGCTCCACTCCATCCTTGAACCTGGCCGGAGAAACCATTGAGTTGTGTTCATTTTGATTACGCCAGGTAAATGGAGTGACAATATGTTCTTTCTCATAATAGTTTCCCATTCGAAACAGTTGTAGGTTTACTTTACCAATACCGCAACATTATAAATTAGAATCGAACTATAGCTACTACTCCACACATTGTTTTCTATGTTGGGACTACCATAAGTTGTGGTATCTCACAATGCAACAGCATTGAATTCACAAAATTCTCAGAATTGGCACGTTCGAACTCTACCTTGCCATTTGGCTTCAAACGAGCCAAATCCTTTACTGAAAATGACCTGGGTACGCGAACAGTGGTTACAAGGTGTGGTTGTCAAACTGGACAGATCTGTGCTGGTACAGGTGCAGCTAATCGATTGTTTGTGTAGTCCGTCTTCATGTAGATCAACTGCACCCTCGTGTTGAAGGCATTGTCAAGTGTCCTCAGAAATGGTGGAGAGAATGCTGGACAGGAGCGAGTTTTCATTTCGTCAAAACCAAAACCTCTGAGCCAATGCTTCACTTTCCATGAGCACTTCCAGCACAGAACCACCACAGAACATGACGTCAAATTCACGTGAACATCTAAAACTGAGTGGTACTAGGCATTCCCCTGAACGTGTAGGCTATACTAAGTGTAGCCTTGATCCCATGCCTTCTCGTTTCTCTGTGCACATGGTTCAAAGGTCATATGTATTATGTATCCCCACTACATATATATGACCTTTGAACCAGAGAAAGTTGGCAAGGGATCGAGGCTACACTTAGTATAGCCTACACCTGGTGTTCTGGGGAATGCCTAGTACCACTCAGTTAGATGCTCACGTGAATTTTACATCATGTTTTGTGGTGGTTCTGTGCTAATGGAAAGTGAAACATTGGTTCAGAGTTTTTGGTTTTGACGAAATGAAAACTCACTCATTCTCTCCACCATTTTTGAGTACACTTGACAATGCCTCCAACATGAGGGTGCAGTTGATCTACATGAAGACGGACTACACAAACAATTGGTTAGTTGCATCTGTACCAGCGAAGAAGTCCTGGAATCGAGGCTAGATGGGTGTAGCCTTGAGGTAAGCACAACCCACTTGCTCACAGAGTCAGTGACATCCGTCTGTACAGCAGGGTAATTCATGCCACATACGCTATTAACATCCGTCTGCCATGAGTTTTGAACCTTACTTTATTGAATGACTGACCAGGTGGGAATAGATAGATAAACACCAAGAAGCGTTAACTCTAGGGTAATAAAACAAAACCCTTACTAACCCTATATAGGTAGCTATTAGGCTCACATGATCCTTTTATATGCATGGTCGCAGCAGTCTCAGAGATAAGATTAGCAGGATGAGGGGAAGGAACTGAATTCTCCTCCAGATCATGTACAAACACTGTGTATCTTGAAGGGGGCATATGGACTTTTCTGAACAATGTCGAATTCGCTCCATTCCGCTTTAAAGTAATAAATGTTATTTCAGGGCTGGAATTAGAGACAATCACTAAGAAAGCGCCCTTTGCACTGGAACGTTTGATGAGCTCTCCAGTTACTACTATCATAGTGCCATTATGATTTTGGTCTGTCTTGGGATGTTGAATATCATTTGTTGCTGCAAAGTATAGACAATACAAACATAAATAGGCATTATTATCAGGGCTTTCTAATGAGGACATCGTAAGCGATCATACGTACCAAGCTACTAGAGTTTACACACAATCAATAAAGAAATTTACTTCAACTATAGGAGTTAACTTACTGAAAGTAATGTCCTTTTTATAACAGGAACTTCCATCTTCAATTATAGCAGTATATCTTCTATCAGGTGGTAAAGTAAATATAACATCTCCATTTCTAAAATTTTTTTCACCAACAACTCTGCCTTCTTCATTTCGAACAGATATTTTGTCCCACTTATCCAATTCTTCCTGTGACAAAATGTTGACAATATTACTTCTTCAATACATGTGAAAAGCACCTTTTGTTCTATGAATGTTTGTGTACACACATTAAGATTAGCTAAGCTGGTTATTACTATAGCTTTTGCAATTCCCTTTTTTGAGTTCACACTTAGAGCCCAGCAGCTTTTCAAGGTTAGCTATATCTTGTCATCCTAGGCAGGATTTTGTATAGTAAGCTGGAACGTTTGTTGGAAAATGCAGCATTCAAGCTTTTAAAGTTACATTACCCAGTCATTAGTAAAAGGCTAAACCCAGTATAGTGCACTCGTTTTTTAGATTTGCAGCAAAGACTTTTAAAGGGAGATGCATCAGTGTTAGCTGTATAGTGGTGCAATGGAGTAGGGGAGGCAGGAACACTAACACACTAAGGATCTCCAATATAGTACACAAAGCCGCAATAAAAATGAAAAGCACTAAAGTGCAAACCTTCGGCGAACTGCGCATGCGTGATACTGCTAATTGATAGGCTGGGCTATTAGTAGTATGCGTTTACTTGTGGTCTCCCGCTAGTAGCGTGCGGAGAGTCTGACACGGGCTAGCTACAGCAGTAGATAGCATGCGGGAGTCGATATATGCCGTTCGTTGTGACTTCCTGAGCCTCCAAGGCACACAGAGAGCAAGCGGATCAGGTCGCGGTAAGCCCAATGTGATTCTGCATATTGGCTTTTTCGCTTGTTTTCATGACATATCTCTCGAACGCAGTCGTTTCAGGACAATCGCCTAATACCTTTTCAGGTTTGCGTAGTTATGAAGCCGCTGGTATCGCTAATTGGCCGCCTAGTAGTCTGTAGTGCCAGAATAAGCGTCGACACACACACAGACAAATCAACTACCGTAACCCTCGCTGCGCATGCGCGCCGAGGGTTAATGATATTATGCAGTTTGCTAATGTGCTCAATATACACAAAAGAAGTATATGTAAGCAAGGGTACTGCCACTGACAACAGCAGCGTATTATACAAGCAGTCATGGCAAGAGGGTATGCTGAAGGAAGTACAGGGTTGTCTATAGTCTCTTTTACATGGGTGGTCCAGGATCTAGGCATACTCATAGTCTCGCAAGCAAAAGCGATCCAGCAAGGTCCACGATGTAGAATAAGCGCTCTACAAGTGGTTTATTGATGCCAGGGCAGAGATGCATATGTTACCAGTGCGGTACTGAAGAGAAAGCCAGCTATTTGGCTGCCCTTCTAGGCAAGCTGGAGTTCAAAGCCTCGAATTGTTCGCTGTACAGATGTAAAACACGACATAGAATAAAGGTAAAGAAGTCCCACAGTGAAAGAAAAGATACAGATAATATGCTGCCGAGCAGTGGTCACCGTGCTCACCGAGCTGCTGGAAAGGTATGAGCCATGTAATGTGTACAATGCAGGTGAAATGGGCATCGATTACTGAGCCTTGCCAGATGGTACGCCACTTTCTCCACAGACGCACTCAGTGATAGGGCTAAACTGCATTAGTAGTTAACATGGATGGCACTGATAAAAGGCTTCTGTTTTTTACATTGCCTTGTAAGGTAGGGGAGGCAACACGAGCAGGCTCACCACTCATGACAGACACACTGTAAGGACTTTGCCATCCCCTTTGTATTGACTGCAAAGGCATGCACTGGGGGGAGCAGGTGCTGTAGAGGCTAGTGCCAAGAAAGATGTTATATAATGCACATGTTTCATCACCCCTCAATGCACACCCCAAGTACATTTTGTGAATGCAGAGTGTGTGGTGTACATTGCACATACATACACTAGTGCTTACATTGAGGTTTTGCACTTTTTCATAATCAACAACAACAACAAGTTAAGATAATAATGTTGTATGTTGATATTTCTTCAGTTAGTTAGCTTTTTACATGTACCATCACTTACAGCTCTAAATGTGACATCACGCTTTTCATCTTCACTCCTTGCTTGAACTTCAACTGTAATAGTATCTGCAAGAAGTAATTCCTTCTTACTTCACATGGTATTAAATACAATCCACCTGAATACAGCCTTCATACAAAACCACAGCAGCTGTCTGCTAGCTAGATCAGCATGGAAGACCTACTATGGGAAAAGGGAACCATCAACATTTCTGTGTTTTGTATATATGACACAACCTGTTCTACAAATACTTGCGAACTTTGTGCACGTATTAGTTATATCAGGTCGGTCAGGGTGGTGTGGCGTATTATACGCCAGAGGGTTCTAATTGCATTCCTACACGAGGGCGTACAACCACAAGCCACCCACAACTGGCCTGGTATAACTGGTTTGTAGCCCAGTAAAACTGGTTTAAGGGTGATTGCATAAAAAGCGTTTTGGCAGGCTCACTTTTGAATTCGTGTGCATCATTGCGGACTGGAGCGTCCACGAAGGCGTAGTGGCTTTGTAAAGACAAATCCAGCGCATACGACTTCAGCGTGAGGACCTATTGATTCTGCAGAGGTAAGCCCAGGCTAAAGAGAAGCTGTGTGGACCGTAGTGATATTTTCTCAGTGCCGCTCGTGGAGTAGCTCGTGTTTGGTTGTGGCAGCCCGGCTGGAGCAACCAAGAGCTTGCTAATCTCGTGCATACGCGAGCGTAGCATTCCCGTGGCTTGTAATTCCGGCTAGGTTTGTAATCTGTAGATCATACGTTAGGATGAAGTTCAGGGCGGGAGAAGGAGGTGTTGTATGTGTGTTTCATTCACATGCCTACATACTATTTTTCTAGTGCTTCTCTTATTGAGGATACTTACAGTAAGTTGAAAGAGGAAGTGCTAGAATTGAGGGGTAATTTAAATGCAAGGGTGAACAGATCTACTGATTTGGGTGATATCATTGGGAGGTTTGGGGAAAAGACATCCGAGTGGAAGTACGTTCTTGAATGAGGTGGAGGTAGTAATTTGTAATAAACTAGTGCAAGGGCAAAACAGATTACATTTTTACAGCTGTGAACAGGTTGATATTGGTGCCATTTCCTAATGTGGATTGGTTGGGCCGAAGTGTACAAAGAGGCAGAAGCAAACAAAAATAAAGAGGCCAGAAGTATCAGAAAGCTTGCTGCTGAATTTTAAACTGTATAACCAAACTCAATGCAAAAGCAGTCACCTAAATTTAAGTCAACACGAAACAAGTACAATGCTCACATCTGGGCCCATACACGCAAACGGTGATTCTGTAGGTCCATGAAGATGTGAGCAACCTTTGGGGTTATGCTGATTTTGTAGGGTATAGTTTGGGTCTGTAAAAGGTGTATAAAAAGTTGCATAAAAAAACTCAACCCCTAATGACCTCCGAAACCACTGTTAGTCTGTATTGTGCACCAACTAAAGACTAGCAGAGAAATTTTTTTCATTGCTCCTGTAGACTAGGATTGTACACATTTGGTTCTTAACTCACAGTCTTGCTAAACAAATCAGCCTAACTGTTTTTAAGGACCTTCTTCAGGGGTTATTATGTCAAGTGGCTATCACATGGGCCCACAGGACCCTTATCAGATTATTCAGTCATGGCTGAGGATCAGTTGATATTCACTTGTGTTGATTGAGTACCGAGAAATAGGGCAAAGAGTGAAAAGGTGACCATTAGCACTTTACACTGGATAAGATACTTGCAACTAAGACATATTGTATCTAGCAGAGTAAATGCCACTCAGGTAGTTAAGATGCCTGTATATACTGGTTCTGCAGTGTAGGTAGAAGACAGACTGAGCTTTCCACTGCTTAACAGAATATATGATTGTTATGCACTGAAATGCATGTGCCTTCTGTACAACCTTACATTGAGCCAAAATTCTACATTTCTCTACGTACAACTTTCACAGACCCCTAACTATCTCATTGTATACTTCTTGTCTCTCTGCATTATCCTTCTACCTGACAGACAATCTACACACTAAAACTTTCTCGCCAAATTGAGCTTCGACCACCCTATCCTTTCCCACTCGTCTTAGACTTCTTAGAACAATTCACAAGCACTTACACCTCTTCACCTTCTGTGGAAGTATAGAAACTTGTCACTACTTTGTGCCTCAGACTAATGCAGCCCTATATCTTTAGTGGAAAAGACAACAACACCCCATAAACTTCAATGTATCAAGAGCTACAACATGACATACATTCCAACAGTGTAGGTTACAAAATCACTAAGTACGGTAGTACTTAGAATATAGGGATGGGCATGCTACCTAGCATCATAGATGTATGGGATTATGATAGGGAGTCTCCTTCTTCTCCTTCTTCAACTCGCGTAACTCAAAAACAAAATGACATTATAGTAATTAAAATTTGTAAGAATGTACATATCCGTCACCCGAAGAGACTGGTCATACTTATTTGTTTGTAAACATCATTGTTCACTGTAAACAACAACAAATAGCCCCAGGCAATACATTATAATGGGATCACACATGTCAGTATAATTCACAAATGGTAAGAGCTATGTGAACGAAACTTTGTATACACAACATCAAAATCACAACAATACATGTTTGTAAATAACAACAAATAGCCTCAGGCACTTTTATTTAAATTTGCTTCTTCACTTCTCAACTTTCCAATGGTAGCACGCATAGAGATGAAACTTGGTAAGTATGCTTATATCGTCATTTCCATTATGATTACATGTTTCCATGATGACCGAATATTGTTTGGCAAAATTTTCTTTAAAACTACTTCTTCACTCCTCAAACTTGCTGACTGTAGCATGCATAAAGGTGAAACTTGGTGCGCATGTGTATTACATCATTTCCATGACGACCACAACAACAAATAGCCTCAGGCACTTTTCTTCAAAATTACTTCTTCACTCCTCAAACTTGTTAACTGTAGCACGCATGGAGGTGAAACTTGGTCAGAATGTGTATGACATTGTTTCCATGACAACCACACATCATTTGAACAACAACAAATAGCCTCAGGCACTTACTTATTCACTCCTCAAACTTGCTAATGGCAGCACACATGGAGATGAAACTTAGTATGCTTGCATATATCATCACTTCCATGACAACAACATGCATTTTCTTATTAATTTTTATGATATAGCTACGTAGTAGTGTATAAAAACGAGTGGAGACAAGCAAATAAAAAATGCTGCAAATTTAAAAAAGAGGCATAGCTATAGGGATGGTATAAAACGAAAGGGAGAAAAGATAGGGATTGGATACATGAAGCATGGTTAATGAACAGATTTTAGCACGCTGACACCCCCAACCCCATCACACAATCCCTATATTGTTGCCTAGGTGAAGTATTAAACATTCAACATTGCACAATAGTCTAGCTTGAAAATACGAAAAGGTCATGCTATGAACTATAATTTCATGCTACTGAGTAACCAAGAATACAAATGGAGTGGTACACCAGGCAACAATATAGGGATTGTGTGATGGGGTTGGGGTGTCAGCATGCTAAAATCTGTCCATTAACCATGCTTCATGTATCCCATCCCTATCTTGTCTTTATACCATCCCTATATACCTCTTTTTTTTTAATTCGCAGATTTTTTAATTTACTTGTACTCTTAGCTATACCCAAAACCTTATATAAACAAGAGACATACAATTTGTTTAAGCTAACCATCAAATGAGGTTATAGTGCCACTGCTCTCTCCTTGGCCAGCTCCATTGTAAGGGATAAACAGAGAAGTTGTACACATCACAAGGACTGAGGTGGTCAGGAGTGAAGGTATAGTGTGTCTCACTGATATAGGTACAGTCAGTACAGCGGATAGCTGTTGGGTAATATTTCTCTGTAACATTATAGATGGTGATAGAGTACCATATATCTCGATCACCACCAGTAACATTAAGAGAGAATGGAGCAGTCCAGGATATAGTAACCGAGCTGACATCACCTTTGGCTCTCAAGTTTATCACAGCCATCAACAAACCTAATAGAGTACAAAAGCATAGAGGTTATTAGCTACTCTAAACTGAGCACAAGTGGTTCTCTTCATAGTAGTAATTACTCACTATTGTGTACACTGATACCTTGAATAATTAATGTCCCAATCTCACTCTCTGCTGAGGAACCATCAATTTTTACTCCAAGACATTGAACTGTAGTTCCATTGCGCTCAGGTTTGGATGGGATGACTAGTTCCTCAAACAAAGTAGAATTATAACTTGAGGTGTTAAATATCAATTCTTTCCGTAACTCTGGTGGAAGGTCCTTCAAGAGCAATCCATTCAATTTCCATGTTACCTCATCACCCTTCGCCCAACACGAAAACGCTGCAAACTCATGAAGGAAAACGGTTGAGTCTTTTGGAGAACTGAGAATTTCTGAAATATAAATGTGCATTCGTATGGAGGAATGGTTTCAAAAAGAAACAAGCGGTGATTACACGGCAAACGCACACAAAATCACCTGATATACGCTTATGTTATAATGTTCCCTCTATGGTTTTGGTAAGGAAATGGCATTGTGCACAAGTAAACACGTATTATACACTGAAGACAGCCATGGTCACATAAAATGTTCTAGAAACAGTTCAAAGTGCACAGTAACAATGTCTATGTGAGCCGCTGCACTATCCCCTGAACTAGTGAACTGAAAGTAGTGACCAAGACACTAGACACATGGGCCAAAGAATGTGGCGACCAGAACGTGTGACTACCTGTGGAGGATGGAGTGGGTTGTAGCAGAGATGGTGACGGAAGGAATGTGTCTGTAGTATCAGACAATGTGTGCGCTTAAGGTGGTCTATAACAGTTGGTTGGCCATTGCAGTTCATTGTATGATGCTTGGATGAGCGTAACAACACCCAGTATGGGCCGTTGGTTGTTGTTGTGGTTTTTGACAGCATTGAATTAGACATACATGGGTTAGCGGTTTGAGAGCATGCGTAAATCGACCCAAGACTGCGTTGGAAAAAGCGAACACATGGTCTATGACACCATCGGCAAGTCAAGGGTATGCACACAATTTTTGACTCTGCACAAAGAACTCCCCAGGAGAACGAGTTTTCACTTGATGTCAGGATTGTAAGCTGTGCTAGAGGACCAATACAGCCCACGAGTCCGGGTGTTCTGAGATTTCAGAGACGTGACAGTGGAATCATTCCACTAGGCCATTTGCAATGTGGTGGTACAAGACGGTTTACCCTACTATGTCATTACAACACAAAATTTCATGCAATTACCCCTTTATATGCCCCTTGGTTCTTACCCTAATCTCAAAGTGTTCTATACATGCCCCAAGTCATAAGAACCTCTGCTTATAACCCTAACTAGGAGGGCAAGATGTGACGGTGTTCCAACATGCACCTGCTAAACCAAACCCACCAAGCTAACAGCCCAAGCAAAGGCACCGTCTTCTTGCAGCTGACCGCTAAACATCTGCATTCGGGTGGGAGCCCCAACAAAAGAAGCTCTTGCACCACAATCATCTTTTCGATGGAACACAGGTAAGCTATGGGTAGGAGCACTTTTCTGGAGCACTCCAATTGCTTGGCTGCAACGACAACCTTGGCTACTTTGCAGGGACGCATTATGCGTGTGCAAGTTTGCCTGGCCTTCAACCTTTTTTATGATGTGCTGGTTAAACCAAGTTAATCAGCACATCCAACATAGGCCAGGCAAAGTCTACAATTGACCAGGTTGCAGCCAAGCAAGAGAAAGGAACTGGCAAGAGGGCAGAAAAGTGACAGAAACCCAGTATTTCGCCTCCGAGCGATAGAGAACAGACCGGCAAATGACAAGTCTCGGCGACTTAACCAGTCCAGGAACCATGCACACATGTCACCGGGAGGGCATCGTTGATCGGGGTTTAAAGAGGGAGAGGAAACGTTGACGCACGGTGGACAAGGAGCATGTACAGTAGGTATACTACAAAATGAGCAGCAAGGGTAATAGACGGCATAGCAGACACCTAGGTCCCCCTCTGCTGCCCAAGCTTGGGCCAGGTCAATCTCATGACAGACCAGGTCGGGGTGGCATCGTGAGGCTAAGTAGTGCCAAATGGCAGACTGCTCCAAATCAATGGTGGCATTGCATTGAATGACCGAAGTAGAACAGAGGAAGGTTGCATAATGTTGCCCCACTCTAATTACAGAACCAAGAACAGACGACAAGCAAACTGGCTAAACTTAAGACCATACCTGTGTGAGGTGAACGCAAAGCATTTTTGATGAGCAGGAGCGAGTACAAACATGCACCTGGTCTTCACCAAAAACATTTTAGACAGAGAGGCCAGAAAGGGTGTGGTGAAGTGTCACAGCCGCTAGTATATGCTTTAGCAAGGGGTATATACATAGTCACTTTCGTAGCCATCTGTTGCTCTCTTTCAAACTTATAGGCATAATGTGTATCAGTCATCACATGTTAGCTGAGGCAATACTTTGTTACAGTCACTAGTAAGTCGAAGGAAGAAAAGCAAGAGATAGGTAAAGTGGTAAGTGCGTGAAATAATGTGTTGTTAAGAGGGAGCATAACATAGAACAGTGTCTCAAGTAAAAGTTCCAGCTCCAATTTTCAGATTTTGTTTGATGAAATACTAAGCACTTTCATGTCATTATGGAATTGATAAAGAGAAAAAATAGCAGATTTTATGCTTTAAATTTGAGCAACTGGATGAAAAATTTGTGAGCCTTTCAAATGCTTACTAGAGCGGACATTGGACAACCTCAGACATTATTGTAGATAAAGACTAGATCCAGCCATACACACTGATAGGTAGTATAAATAGCTATCCACTGTCAAAAAATTATTACCCAATCGTTTGTGTCCAAGACAGAGCTGTTGGTGCACTAAGTCGATGTCCGAAGATACATAATGTCGGACAAAATAATGAATTGCCATACACTGCTAGTTTCTTGTAACAACAGACGTGCGCAAAACTGGTCGCAATAGCGAAGGAAACTACTACTTTCCGACTACCTAAAATGAGCCTGTTACCACACGCTTCACTTCTACAGTTACCGCACCAAGTCGGTTTTACGGGAAGGTCACATCCTCAATAGTCAGACGTGCCTGATACCTTCTGCATGAAGGGTGCTGTGTAAATTTGTGAAAGTATCGTCACCAACCAATCCCAGACTAACATTTTGAAGGGCTGAAGACAAAAGTTGTTGTGTGATTAGGCTGGGGGATCCAAACACTGCTGAAAGACCAACGTTTTTCGGGGCCATACTAAAAATTGCTTCACGAAAAAAATACGTTAAATACGTAGCTGAAAAACAGCAACACACATAATTGTAGAAGTTGGATGTTACAACCTTAGTCTACCTCACTTAGTATTGCACGGTCAACCATCATAAAGCATCCAGTGTAACCGATGGCTAATAAACTGCGCATGTGTGTTAGCCTATTGAGGGCGTGACCTTTCCTTCAAATCGGCTCATTGCGGTAACTAGAAGAGATGCTTATTGTAACAGGTTCGTTTCAGGTAGCCGGAATGTAGTTGTTTCCTTTGCTATTATGCGCACGTCTGTTTCTAGAGGAGTCGTTATTTTTGTCCGACATTGTGTGTGTTCGGACGCTGACTTCGAATGGCAACTGTTACGTGTTAGAGACAAGTACACGGGAAAAATTTTGACAGGTGATAGCTCCATCTACCATCTACCAATACAACCTAGACATGGCTCTCGCTTTGTCTGTATTGGTGTCCGAGGATTGCTCGTGGCCAACCACTGATTGATCATTCTAACATGGTTCACCCCTGTAGTATGGGTGGTATTACTGAAGTTCAGCTATACAATCAGTCTACATATCATTTGTGTGTGTAGCTATGTAAGCAACGAAATAGGCCAAGAAAGAGTGTGATTACCCTCGGCGCGCGCAGCAAGGGTACGGTAGTTGGGTCTGTCTGTGTGTCTGTGTGTTACTCTTCATCTCACTTCACGGGTGCTTGTTCATCTCACAACGGGCAATGAAGGTCAGAAAGTTGGAACGGTTTTCTCTGAAAATGCTCCGTTGCAAAGCTAGAGCACTTCCAGCATTGAACGGCTAATGCCAGTAGTCGCCATTGTATCGCTGCGGAAAATGCGCATGCGCTTATAAGCACAGGCTTACCTCGACCGGGTCTGCTTGCTCTCATAGCTACCTACCAACCATCCATCTTTTTGCTTGATAATCAAGCAAAATACTGCCTATGCCACCAGAAAATTGCCAAATCCCTCTTTTTTTGTGCTAACCTGTGATGCACCATGCCCATACATTTTGAATGGACACGCAGCATTATCAAGCAATATTACTCCAAATCCAGCAAATTTGACACATTTCTCAAGCAAAGGTTTATCTGCAGGTTGGTAGGTATGTGCTCTGTGTATCTTGAAGGCACAAGAAGTCACAACAAAGGGCGTGTATCGACTCTCGCGTGCTATCTACTACAATAGCTAGCCCGTGTCAGACTCTCTGCGAGCTACTAGCGGGATACCACGAGTAAACACATACTAAAAGCCCAGCCTATCAATTAGCGGTACCACGCATGCGCAGTTGCGCAGTTGCGCAGTGCTTTTCATTTGTGTTAGTAGCCCTAACTTGCCTTCTTTTAACGAACTTCGAAAATACAAGGCTAACAAATTATGACTATTATGCTTATTATTTTGGAACCCAAAACTACCTCATTGATAACACGAGATTTCATGCAGGTGCGTAAAAAAAGGAAAGAATTCTGTCCTCATCCAAAGTAATAGCTACTCTTTCATTATCCCTCTTGCTAACAACTTTTGAATTCCATAACGATTAAACACTCCAATAGTTATTATACCTTGACCAAGAGTTAGAAGGCCAACATGAAGAAAAAAGAAAAGACCTGTGGTATAATAAGAAATAATTTTTGCTGCATAATTTTTCTTGCTGCTTACTTTTAACTTCCATTGAGGTATATCCACTGGTTTCGGGTTGACTTCTGTGATGACGGTTGTGTACTGACCCTACATTGTAGAAATACTTTCTAACATGGCTTACTGTTTATGTACAAGACACAAGTTCAGAGACCACAGTTGTTATGACAGAAAAGTGGTAGCTACCACTCTCTATAATCTAAAACTGTAATTAAAGTCACTTTGGTTGTTGTATTCAGGGATGGGATTTTGGTTTTTCCATGTAAAGAAAATCTTGTTCTCCTCGATTCTGATTGACGCGCTTTTGTTCACATGCACATCAACTGACCCGCGTTTGGACTCATCCTTGCTATGGGCGTAAGTGTTAACCCTTTGCCAGCCACGGGCACATATATATATATGTCCAGAGCGTCCATAAGTCTATAAGAATAATTATATAACGTCTATAATACAGTACAGTGCGCTAATACTGTATTACTAGAATAATGTTCAACATTGTTGGCGAGCGAGAGCGACCCAACTTGGGATTTGTCCGCGATGTTCGGGCTGCATAACGTGCCGCCAGCGCACAGCTTTCCTTTCGTGAAGCAAGACAGAGCTACCTGTCGCCGTTACATGCGTACTGTATATTGGCAGAACGGTGAGCAGGTGAGCAGAACGGTCCTTACCTTACGCTTTCAGCTCGTCTGTCGTGGTCCACCAGGCAGCTGGCATGGAAGTAGGCTATATAGGCAGCGATCGATATCAGGCTGCTCGACAACGCTAGCCTGTGTGTGAAAATGTGTAAAAATTTGGAAATAATTTCGGATAAAAAGAAGCGCGTACCTGGTGGACCACGACAGACGAGCTGAAAGCGTAAGGTAAGGACCGTTCTGGCAATATACAGTACGCATGTAACGGCGACAGGTAGCTCTGTCTTGCTTCACGAAAGGAAAGCTGTGCGCTGGCGGCACGTTATGCAGCCTGAACATCGCGGACAAATCCCGCTCGCCAACAATGTTGCCAACAATGTTGAACATTATTCTCTTATGGCTTATGGGTTAACACTTACGCCCATAGCTTCCAAAGCAAGGAGGGAGTCCAAACGCGGGTCAGTTTGATGCGTATGCGCGGCTAGACGTGTCCGATCTTAGATCGCCGAGGCAGCTGCAATACTACGCGGAGTAAGCGGAAATACCATATAATATGCCCAGAGCGTCCATAAGAATACGCGGAGTAGGCGGATATACTATAGGTGAAGGCGACTCCTCTTAGTGCAGGTTGGAGGGCTTGAACTCCGCTTTACTGGATGTCGGCGTTATATTCCAGAAAGCTTCGTGATGAAGGGAGATTTGCAGGGCGTCCGTCGGTAGATGAAAACGTCCGATGTTACGTAATATCGGCAGTCGACCTTTTCGAGGGCATAACTCGGCAACAAAAGCGCGTCAATCCTCCAAACTTGGAACGAAGGATTATCATTTCCAACACTACATCCTGGATATAGAATAACAAAATGATATTTTATCGTACGCTCAGGAGGCCTGTCCGATTATACATGGTGTCCGACCTTTGATGAGCTACTCTATATAACATTTACAATTACCAACTCTCATAATATTTCTTACACGTCCAGAAAGTAGCTGCAGTTTCTTCTGAACTGAAGCAACAACCCGTCAACTAACAAACTGCCCCCTATTTCTTTCGCAGAACCCGTGACCGAGCCCGTGACCTGAGTAAATTCATAGTTATCCCGTGACCTGAGTAAATTCATAATTAATCAATGTGGTACGCATGCGTTTCAGTGTTTGTGGGGTGGTACGTGCTGAGTGTAGCAACTGTTTCGGCCCACGGCCTATTCACTGTGGAGAAAAGTTTTCGGCCATAGATGTACGCGCACCAACGATGAAAAACAGGCGAACGGCTGTTCCCAACGCTTGGGACCTTTTTGGAGTGGTACTTCTCATAATAGTATCATCCGATGCCCAAGGTTAGCTATACACATAAGCTAGAGAACTATATACCTCAGATCAGTTGGTCTTTGTAGCCAGTTAGCTCAATCAATCTTGCAGTAATACTCCGCACTCCTGGAAACACAACTGTCTTCCTAAACTGGCCAGCAACGTTTGTGTGTGAGACAGATGCTGATTTATCGACGTGGAAAGTAAACGGAATTCTTTTAAGTGATCTTGCTATAGAGATATGGAACGATCTGGAACGTTTAGAGACTAACACCGCCCAGGGTAGCACCTTAGATATATTGACCATCCCGGCCAGGGGCAAATACAATGGAAGTAGTTTCCAGTGTCTGGCAGTGACAATAGGTGTCGGCTCAGGAGAAAGTGAGATTGCCACACTCAATATTCAAGGTAGGCATAATATGAAGCTAATATAATCCCAGTCAAAGAGCACATGTCTTAATCATTTCAGGTCCACTGTCAGCTGTTGCTGATTTTACAGCTACTTATAATGCAATGTCAGTCACCATCTCCTGGGCTGCTCCATTCTCTCTTGATGTTACTGGTGTTGATCCTGATATATGGTACTCTGTTTTCATCTATAATGTAACAAATGAGAACAATATAGCAGCCACCCTCTGTACTGACTGTACCAATATCAGTGAGACACACTATACCTTCACTCCTGACCACCTCAGTCCTTGTGATGTGTACAACTTCTCTGTTATCACATACAATGGAGCTGGCAAGGGACAAAACAGTCGAAATTTCACTTTCAGTAAGGATTATGTCACAACTTCCACATTTTCATATAACTTCTTTTGTGTAGAAAACTCTCCTTTGATCAACATTACCAGAACAAACACCAGCATTACCTACAATAGTATCTCTGTAACATTCCAAGCACACGTAAGTTAATTAAATAAAGAATACTGCAATAATAACAGGGATATAAAATTAGATACTAGCTATTACACAGATCCTTGCAGTACAAAAGCATGTTACAATTGTCATGAGAGTGCAATATAAACTCTTTTGTATATATACTCCTGGTCAACAGGGGAAAACAGAGAGTAACTTTACTCTCCATGGAATTCCAAAAAGAGATGAAGATTATTTTACGATAAATGACACAAACCTACAAAAGGGTGAATTACTCACCTATGCACTACCTGCTGACAACAACTATTCCTTATTCTTTGAGGTGTTTACTACTTTTGGATCCATGAACCTGTCACTTGACTTCAGTGAGGGGATTTGTATACATAAAAGGACATCAGTTATTACTTTCAATATCCTCTCTATACAGCAACATATGATGTCCAAAGTTTGTCAGTGGAGGAGGAAAGAGATGGGGGAGGAGTACTAGTCAGAGGAGAGTTCATGAGTGGGTCACAAGCTGCAGGCTGTCTGGTGGTACTCCAGGGATCCCCCACCTCTCCCGACATCCTTAGAGCTCTCCTGAGAACTCAGTCTCAGAATACTGTCTCTTTAACTTTCCCTGTCCCTCCTTCTACATACACTGTGTATGGATATGATCTGGAAGAAAATGGACTCCCCAACACAATGCCAGCTGTAATAGTTGAAAGTGAAATATGTATCAGCAAAGGTCCATTAAACCCATGTTGTGTATTAGCTACCCTGGGCATTTTTAACTGTATCACCCTTTTATATTAGGTCTTGAATCAGTCAAAACATCTAACATATTGAAGAATGCCAATGTGTCTCAGAGCGGATCAACCATTGTGATCAACTGTGAATTCTCAGAGGCCTATATCAAGGCATCATGTGTCCTAATATGCAGAAAGTATGACAGTCCCCTCCTGACAGTAATAGAGTTCCCTAAGCTTATCAACTTCCCTGTCTCTATCACTGTTGAGAATCCTAAGAACTATACATTTGCGTTGTATGGGAAAGACAGCGCAATTGGAATGGTTGAAAGTCCAGCTATTACTGTCAAGTTCAGTAAACAATCACCTGGTGAGTGTGTAATTTATTTCCCTTAAACTGTAGTGTGTGAATCTTTAAATTACATTTTTACTCGGAGAACTGTAACACTATTTAGATAAGATGGAAAAAGTAGATGATGGAATTGACACCCAGGTGGAAATTGTTGCAAGTTCTATTGGTAGGATGACAAATTTCATCACAAAGTTATCTTTACAGTATAGTATACTACTTTGCAGGGGCATTGTTACTTTGCACTCTATGTTGCCTATCTCTGCTGGTCCTGGTAATGATAGTGAGACACAGGCACAAAAGTGGGAAAAACAGAAACAATGAAGGTAGAATATGAAAGTAATTGTAGGTGTGTTGATTGTGTAATTTTATCCAGGAACTACTTACTATGTCCGTAATGCGGAGTATGATGAAGTGGCTCTTCCTCCATGCTCTTCAGCAATCATTCAAACTGAACCTAATTCGGCCTATGCCACTACCTCAGCATGTTAACTCTTTGGGGTCGAATATAATTTTTACGTAGCGTCTTTACGCGCATGCGTATTGCGCGCAATGCACAACAGCGCGTTGCCACACATTCCGCGTGCAATTCGCGCTATACGCAAGGGCTAGGAATGGAGAAGACGCTCGTGTGTGTGTTTTTCGCAGCAACGGAGAGTTCATCTGAAGCTTTTGACTCTTCTTGGAGTTCAGGAAAACCAGTGGTCAAGGTATGTCATTGTAATACGCAGGTAGCATATAACTTTCTAACACACTGACTGAATTTCGAACTAGTGTCTGAATTTGTAGATGCCGTTGTTTTGAAGGGTTGTCTGAGATTGTATTCTGTTTTGTGTGAGCCCCCAGTTTGTGTTCAGGGGGGTAGTGCCGCTTTGTCTTCAGGGAAGTGTGCTATAATTAGAGTTAGCTACATACACGTCTTTCGCGTTGTATGTGGTGTCACGATCTGTCAGCTAGCCAGCACCTAGCATGTTGTTTCCGTCGGGAATCTCCTCTTCGTTGGCTTCATGGGCATGTACTGAATCATGGAGGACCGACCTGTGTGCATGTATAGGTGTATTTGTGAACAGATGTGGTTTTTTACCCTTTGTAGCCGATCATCGCCTCGTCAACACTGTTTTGGGGTGAGGGCTGTAATTCTCCTTGCACTTCCGCTTCATGTGTGTGATGATGGGGAGAACCTTCTGCAGACAATGGTACCCAGGCTCATTCTGTGAAGGTAAGCGTGTGTTGACGAAGTGCAGACGCAATGAATGTGTTGCGCAGCTTGTCGTCAGTGGAGCAGTAGTCACGGATCTCGGGAAGGCGATTTATCCCCATGACTACCATGAAGCCAAGATAGGCTTTCAGTTCTTCAACTGAGGTTGTCCACGTGGCGTTGCTGTATGCATTTTATTACTGGGATAGTACAGATCTGTTGTGTACTGTAAATTACTCATACCATTTCTGGTCTGCAGGGTCCAAAATTGTCGCCCTGCATGATTCTCTCTCAGTTTATCTTCCCCTCCCTCTCTCCCTGCCCCTCCCCCTCCCTCTCCCCCTCCCTCTCCCCCTCCCTCTTCCTCTTCTTCTAGGTCTCCCTCTCTGTCCCCCTTTCTCTGTCATGCTTGTCTCTGATTGAGCTGCAATGCCATCCTCCTCGTTCGTCCAGTCCATATCACTCTCACTACTCTCTGAGCTCTCCATTTCTCCCGGACTATTGGCGGCAGGGATTGGCTCTGGATCTACAAGATTTTTACTAGCTCTAACTTTTTTTAGTCTTATTTTTTTGGCTATTCTTGCGTGCAAAAAACATACCATCATGCATCTGCTCAGATTCTGACTCATGGACATCAGAGTCCCACTCCATCCCCAGGTCATCATCACTACGGACTCGGGGTCCTCTCCGGCGAAGAACTGGATCACTGAGATGCGCTGTGCCACCGCGTGGGTGTAGCTAGCAGAAACTAGGAGGAGCTGGGTGTGTAGCTAGCGTTGCAGCGGCGGTACTGCGCAAGCCCGCGCGTTTGGTCATGATGACGTATGTACCCAAAAGGTCATGGTTTTAGTCTATTTGTGGGCAAAGTAATATCCAAAAAGCCTCTAAGCACGAGTGAAGAGACGCTGGAGGAAGATGCCGACTCCTGCAGCCGGCGAAGGGTCGAGGTAAGCGTTTACACGGAGTACCTACTCCGCGCGGAACGAATCCATTCCGCGTTATCACGCAATGACGCATATTATTAATGTTTTGCACTGTTCACCCCATGATACATTTCAAAGTCTTTTGATAAAGCTGCAGGCTGCATGAATTACACATTTTAGAGAGGCGGGCTTTGGTGAATTATTGTCAACTTCCCAGATGCCGCTTACTTAGCTGCCCATTGTCCAGTGTAGCTAGTGCGTACACGGACACGCGTCATGCACAATTGTATGGTACTATAACAAGTGAAAAAATCATTTCTTCAAAATGAAAGTGGGATATAGGGATGACTTGAAGCACCAAAAAGGAAGAAACAAGGTGTCATTACACACAAAATATGCACAAAGCCACATGACACCATCCCTATATCTTTGTCTCATATTAAACTTTGCTTATGAACAATAAAACAAGATATAGGGATGGTGTCATGTGGCTTTGTGCATATTTGGTGTGTAATGACCCCTTGTTTCTTCCTTTTTGGTGCTTCAAGTCATCCCTATATCCCACTTTCATTTTGAAGAAATGATTTTCCCCACTTGTTTCCACTATTTTTAACAGCTTATGACAACACTCAGTCACTCTGATGTTCATGGCTACGTTGTAGAGATAACTGTTGAAAGCAGAAGCTAATGGACTGCTCTTACCTGAAGCAGGGTGTATGCGTAGTGTCTCCAACAAGGACACGATTAGGTTGTGGCACATATGGTGGTGGTTTAATTGGGCAGGCTTCAGAAATCAGACTACAATGATAGCTATAACCTGGGGAACAAAGAATGAAGGCGCTGGGCAAGGCACGCGTAACACGGCGCAGATTGCCAAGTTGCTCCTCGTGCAAATCAACAGCATAACGCAAGCTAGCCAGTTACAAATGTGTACATTGACTTACAGAAAGCACTGGAGGATGAGAGTAGTTTTCTTTGCAGGGATCCAGTCCTGGCTTAGTCTCGTTCGTGGACCAGGTTTAATGCGCGCGCCCCGCATTGGGAAACGCCCTCCTCTGCGCATGCGGCTGACTGATGCTGAGTTAGCGTTGTTCAGTGACTACCGAGGAAGAGCTCAACGATCTACCGTAGTGACTTGCGGCAAGAAACAAACGATCGCTGATGTGCGTGCACACCTCCGGCAAATTCGGAGACGTTCTGTGAAAAAATCAACGTTTCAAGTGCTTCCGGTAAAGAGCTAGCGGGTCTGAAGAAGAAGATGAAGAATAATTATGATGACGATGACACGAAAATCGTGAAATCGCGTATGAGCGAATTCTCGCGTGGACGACTGAAGGTGCGTATGAGGTCTTGGGGGACATATATAGGTAGATATGGGCCCGTATACTACTGCTGGTATGTTTTGAATGCCTAGGGAGTGATTCTCACCGAGTTTTTAGTCGTTTTGTACGCGGATCACGTGAGATTTCACCCGTGTCGTCCCTATATAGAGAGTCTACCGACTCTCTGATAAGGCGGCGGAAAATGCCTGAGATTGCACATTGCCGATGGTTTGCAGCCCTGGTATATCTGATTCTTTTGTGGTGCTCGTGTCATCCTTTCTGAGGTATATTTGCGCGAAAAAGTTATTCTCGCCACCTATATAGAAGGCCCTTACACGGGGAGGCCAGCGAAGCAGTCAGCTAGACCAAAGGGGTCAGGTAGTTTGGCTCACACGTGCGTGAAATGGGCATGCTATGACAGACTGGGAGTCAGGTTTTTACGGCGTAGCCGACCCCATTCTAGTTTTGGTATGCTAGCCAGCGGCGGATCGAGTTTTGAAGAAAGGGGTTTCAGCCACACCGCAAGAGATGTAACGTCACGTCACGGAGTGCGGTGCACACCTGGGATTGGGCTCTCCTGCTTCTCTGTGTATTATGAATATTCTTCCGAAATTTTTCACAAGCAAGCACTGCGAATTAAAGCAGCGCTATCCTATAGCTAAAGGCCCACACGCACAACCAACTCGAGTTAGACATAAAGTGCCTTCGTTCATGAGGAAGAAGTAGCTATAAACACCATCGAACATTGCATACAAGAGATAAAATCAAACATTCCGTGGACCTTCTACAGTATAAAGTAGAAAAGGCTTGCTTATGAGACAGTCACATGCTTCTCCAGCTATCTACTCTTACATTCGATCCATCTCTGGACAAAGTGCATTTCCATCTGTAATGTATTTACATGATAAATCTGCCACAACTGACAAGGAGAATGCATGTTTGTTCAACCAATACTTTCACTCAGTTTTCACTAATAGCTCCTTCTTATTACCCCCCACTAGTGATTTAATACGACCTTGTTCCTTTTTATGCGAGGTCACCATCAATGAACTTGATGTATTTAAAGCTCTCAGATCCCTCGACGTGTATAAAGCAATGGGCTGCGATGGCATTTGCTCTAGGCTTTTAAAGCACTGTGCCATGGCACATTATCAGCCTCTTTACCATCTCTTTACTTTGAGTCTGTCACATCATTATCTTCCCCTGGAATGGCGTACACACTTGATAAAACCAATCTTGAAATCTGGTGACAAGAGTCTTATAACAAACTACCGACATATTTCCCTCCTATGTATTGTCTCCAAAGTCTTGGAGAAACTTGTTTATGATAACATGGTTGATTTAGTATCTAAATCCACATATTATGTTTATCAGTTTGGTCTTCTTAGGGGTCGTTCTACTCTACAACAGTTACTCCTTTTTTCAATACTATTTTTTCAGCTCTGTGTCACAAACTGATGTTGTATATTTGGATTTCAGGAAAGCTTTTGATTCGGTTGCTCATAATAAACTGTTATCTAAAACTTTGGAATTTCGGTATATGTGACAGTGGATGAGGGCCTATATGCCTGACAAATCGATGCCAATATGTCTCAGTGGGTCACTCTGTCTCAAGTGTTCTACCTGCAGTTTCTGGTGTTCCTCAAGGGAGTATCCTTGGCCCACTTTTGTTTTTTTATTAACCCTCGGCGCGCATGCACAGCGAGGGTTACGGTAGTCTTCTGTCTGTCTGTCTGTCTGTCCGCGCGAGTTCTCGCACTACAGGCTACAAGGCGGCCAATGAGTGGCACCAACGGGTTGTGAACAACGAGAAGATGGATGTTAATGTGGCGATTTTCCTGAAACGACTGCGTTCCAGAGATATGGCGTGAAAACATGCGAAAAAGCGTACGCGAGCGATCCATCGCGCACGCGCGTATGTGGGTGTGCCGGAGCATCAGACGCGAGCGATCCATCGCGCATGCGCGTATGTTTCCGTAGCTATCGTTTTCCGCAGCATGCGCATCTGCGAGATGCCATGTGGTTATTTTAGTTGACCTTGGACGAGCAAGCGGTTCTTGAGTTTCTCTCCTCTGTCAGTGTTGATCTCTGTTCTCGATGGACAACAAACTGAGCAAGGTATGTCCGCAATGTAGCACAGCAGTTCACGTTAGACGAGCAGTTCGTGGATGCGGCCATGCCTTCCCATCTAAGCATAAAGCCCAGTCTGGCAATATATCCCAAGCAACGAAGCACAGTAGAATGCAAGAAGCGAATGTGAGAGCCTTTGAGTGTGGTATACATAGTCACTATGGAGTAGTGCTATGTTTCTATGTAGATCACTTGACCAATTTTATGTTTAATTCGGTATTACCATCCCTCCTATACAGGCTATCCATCAAATGTCTCATACATGACAGGATTAAAGAAGAACTCTCTCGTTTCTACGTTGAAGGATCCCTCTGAGCTATATATTATCAAAGCACAGACACTCCATCCCGTCATGTTCGATGCACAATAATGCTCCTCCCATAGCTGAACTGTGTTACTGCATACTTGCAACATAAGAACTCATAGCAGATACCCTTCATACAATTTTGTTCATCTTATATTCAATTTTGTAGTTACAGTGGAACCTCATTAATACGAACACTGTTAAGCGAAAAAACTATTTGATACGAACCAGCCCACCTAGCTTACAAAACCACAAATGTGCGCATTTTGAGCCGAGGGTTTGCACTTTAGTGCTTTCCATTATTTTTGATCTCCCTGCTGCTATCTTATCTTCCCTGGCCTTGCTTTTTGCTGATGATGCTAAATGTATAATGCCTATTTCATCCGTGTCTGACTGTTCACTTCTCCAAGACAACTTATCTAGAGTTGTGAAGTGGTCCACCACCTGGAATCTACTTCTGAATGAAGACAAATGTTCTATAATTCACTTCACTTCTAGTCGGTCTCCCCTAATTTTTAACTATCTTGTCAATGCGGGTAAGGAGATTCCATCCAAATCTACTCAAAGGGATCTTGGCATTGTTGTATCATCTAATGACCAATGGTCTAATCACTACCAACTAATAATATCTAAAGCCTATAAAAAAAAAACTAGGAATGTTACGAAGGACCTTCTCAGGCTCTATTGCAGTGTCTGCCCAAGCATTCCCTCTATTTCTCTCTTGTACGTTCACAACTTTTATACTGTTCTCCACTCTGGCATCCTCACCTGTTGGCTGACATCAATCGTCTTGAGTCTGTTCAGAGAAGAACCACCAAGTTTATTGTCAATGACTCGTTCATGGACTATAAAGATCGACTGATTCATTTACATCTCCTAGCTATACCGTTGATGATGGAGTTTGAAATTTCTGATATCCTCTTTTTGGTCAAATCAATGAAATGTCCGTCTGACCACTTCAATATCTATTCTTTTATTGAAGTCTGCAATCATTCTACCCACTCAAGATCATAATAAACTCAGACATTCTCTCTCAAGGAACAACACTCTGAGCAAGTTTTATTTCAACCGCATCCCTAGACTGTGGAACTCTATTCCTTCCGTAGATATCAATCTCCCTCTCCCTGCTATCAAATCTATCTTACGTGATCATTTCTGGAATCGTTTTATTACTAACTTCACACTAGATAAAATATGTACTTACCATTACTTATGCCCATGTCGCAATTGCTCCAAATTACCTGTCCATATGCATTTTCATATGTAAATCATTATCATTACTTTGTTTATTGTGTATGTGTATTGTCTATTGGCTGCTGGCCTATGGCCTTCAGTCCATCAACACAGACTCTCTCATATCATCTCCCTTCATCATCCTTTCCTCACTTCTTCTGTGTCGCTCGCCAATTAACTGAGTTTGCCAGGGAGGAGAGATGCCGCTTGCAGAGACGCGCTGCTGCCTACTAGCCACGTACGCCACACAGCGTCGTCGTCACCGTTGTCGTTGGCACTAAAATCTCGAGATAATAGAGCACAGAGAGCAGCACCTGATACCTCGTCGTCACTCAGACCGTCCTGACAGGTATATATATGTGGTTTGAGAGCACCGCGTGAAAGTTCACCAGGCTACCTGTAATACTCTTTGGTGAAGTCAAAGTCCCCAAAAGTTACACAGAGAGATAAGCATAGCAGAGTAGACAAAGAAGCGTGTGCTATAATGAGTCTACAGAACCCCACTCCCATTGGTGGAGTAGACAAGGAAGTGTGTGTTAGAATGAGTCTACAGAACCCCACTCCCATTAGTGACCAAAGCAAAAAGAATAGCACCACCCTACCAGCTAACCAAGCAGAAAGTTTTGGGAAATGTATGGTAGTTGAATGTGGTAAAAACACAGAGAGAGCAAAGGCCTCTGGTCGGAAATTGGGGAGATGCATTAGGTTCAAAGAAAAATAGGTCACACCGAGTGAATTCGAAAGCATGTTAGCGATACAGGCCAGGAAGTGGAAGCAATCAATAAAGTATGATGGAAAACCAATCGGTGAATGGCTCGCAACGAATGAAGAAGTTTTGGCTAGCCAAAAAGGTTCAGAGAGCAGCACCAACCCTGACAACAGTGGCCTACTAGAGCCTCCCAATGAACATGACAACTCTGGTAGGCGAGAAACAAGCATGTTACAACCCAATTGTATAAGCAGTGTGAATGGTACCACTGACAAGGGTAATGTGTCTAGGGAATCACTAGAATTTACTCTCATGCAATCAGGTACAACAACCCTAGTAGACAGTGGCATAGACTGCAGCAACTATACAGCATTACCAAAATTAATGCTTGTGAGTGCTCAAAAGACAGATCCCAGGAGATTCTGGAAATGTATCTCTAGAGCGATGAGGAGGAGGGCTACATTTTCCAATATAGACCCCAAAGCTTTTTTGTCCCACTTTACAAATCTAAACATGAAAAGTATATTTATAGCATACTAGCCACAGAGAATGGAAAAGAAAGAAAGAAAACCAGAAGTCACCCTCCACCCCCCATCCTCCACCCATACACAGTCACAAACAACAGAGAATGACAGCTCTGTAGCTCTCCCTCAGTCTGCAACTCCATCACCTTATATCCCAGAATTGGATGATGATATAACAGAGGAAGAAACCAAACAAGCAATTCTTCATCTGAAATTAAATAAAGCGCCTGGCCCGGATGACATTTCAGGGGATGTTTATATAGGTCTGAATGGTTTATTACTCTCCTGCATTACAACATTATTTAACCTTATTCTCCATTCTGGCACTTACCCTAAAATCTGGACAGTCAGAGTTTTTACACCAATACATAAAGGTGGTTCCAAACAAGACCCCTCGTGTTATCGGGGAATTACTCTTCTGAACAGCATGGGGAAAATCTTTACATCGATTATTAGTACAAGGCTAACGGAGTGGGCAGAGGAACATGCATTAATACCTGAATCTCAGTTTGGTTTCAGAAGAGAACAGAAGAACAGAAGAACGACTGTTTTAGACTCCAGCTACTCCGAGCCCAGTATCACAGCCAGCAGCAGCAGCACCAGCGATGGGTACTACAGCCTGGGTTAGTGCTTGGTGTTCCTGACGTTTTCTCCAGACGGACGCGTGAGGGAATTGAGAAAGGAGAGAGTAGGAGCGGCCAGCATGTATTTAGATAACTTTGTTACTTCCAGTACCAGTATGGCAGTCGAGGGGAGGGAAGATCAGAACAGTAGGGCTGAAAGTGAGTCATGCAATCGGTATTTTCAATGCTTTCAGATGTTGGTATTTCTTCATAATATTATGAAGAGGAATTTAAAAGGCTATATAGGAGTTGAAATTGCTGAAGAAATTGGCAGGATTTATTGATATCTGCCAAGATTGGTATAATTATATCTTTGCAGAGTTGGAGTCACAAACCAATAGGGATGCCCTTTCAAAGCAGCAGGAAGAAGTCAATTCATTTCCTCCTGATGCATAATGATGAGCATACATGGTACTGTACACTTCCTTCTCATATTTCAAGTTGGTCAAGTGAGTGTGAAAATATAATTTATATGCCAGTATGTATAGTTGTATTGGAGGTGCATGCATACATCTTTCTTCCCACTTCACAGGATTGCAGCTGCTGCATTCTTTGGAGCTTACTGCTGTAAGTCAACATTATATATAATATCATGTACATAACTATGGACGAACTGTTGTTATAGAATGAGCCTGACCTTGATGAGGCTGTGAAGAAAATCACTGAAAACCATGGTTACATCTCTGTGGTTACTTCTGACAAAAGGACTCTAGCATCATTCAAACAATAGAAATTTTATCTTATGTTCTTTACTGTATCATTGCTCTTTGTATCTCATGCTCTTTTACTGTGAAATATTTTTGTCACTTCAACAGTAAGAGCAATGGCGCTACTGCAACAACGAACAGCGCTCTAAAGCACCAACCGTGTGTTGTCGAACACCCTATGAAATGTTTATGAACACCCCAAAGGGTGTATTGTAGCATCAATAGAAAGGCTAAATAGCACTCTTATGGGTGTACATCACCCCAGAAAGGGTGTTCCTGTACACTCTTATGGGTGTACATTACCCCAGAAAGGGTGTTCCTGTACACTCTTATGGGTGTACATTACCCCAGAAAGGGTGTTCCTGTACACTCTTATGGGTGATGGTTAACACCAACCCTAACACCCCAAGGGTGCCAAACTGGCACAGTCCCACGGGCGCCCCAAAAGGTGTTGCCGTAACACCCCATTTTTAACAGTGTACCGTTGATGATGGAGTTTGAAATTTCTGATATCCTCTTTTTGGTCAAATCAATGAAATGTCCGTCTGACCACTTCAATATCTATTCTTTTATTGAAGTCTGCAATCATTCTACCCACTCAAGATCATAATAAACTCAGACATTCTCTCTCAAGGACCACACTCTGAGCAAGTTTATTTCAACCGCATCCTAGACTGTGGAACTCTATTCCTTCCGTAGATATCAATCTCCCTCTCCCTGCTATCAAATCTATCTTACGTGATCATTTCTGGAATCGTTTTATTACTAACTTCACACTAGATAAAATATGTACTTACCATTACTTATGCCCATGTCGCAATTGCTCCAAATTACCTGTCCATATGCATTTTCATATTTAAATCATTATCATTACTTGTTTATTGTGTATGTGTATTGTCTATTGGCTGCTGGCCTATGGCCTCAGTCCATCAACACAGACTCTCTCATATCATCTCCCTTCATCATCCTTTCCTCACTTCTTCTGTGTCGCTCGCCATTAACTGAGTTTGCCAGGGAGGAGAGATGCCGCTTGCAGAGACGCGCTGCTGCCTACTAGCCACGTACGCCACACAGCGTCGTCGTCACCGTTGTCGTTGGCACTAAAATCTCGAGATAATAGAGCACAGAGAGCAGCACCTGATACCTCGTCGTCACTCAGACCGTCCTGACAGGTATATATATGTGGTTTGAGAGCACCGCGTGAAAGTCACCAGGCTACCTGTAATACTCTTTGGTGAAGTCAAAGTCCCCAAAAGTTACACAGAGAGATAAGCATAGCAGAGTAGACAAAGAAGCGTGTGCTATAATGAGTCTACAGAACCCCACTCCCATTGGTGGAGTAGACAAGGAAGTGTGTGTTAGAATGAGTCTACAGAACCCACTCCCATTAGTGACCAAAGCAAAAGAATAGCACCACCCTACCAGCTAACCAAGCAGAAAGTTTGGGAAATGTATGGTAGTTGAATGTGGTAAAAACACAGAGAGAGCAAAGGCCTCTGGTCGGAAATTGGGGAGATGCATTAGGTTCAAAGAAAAATAGTCACACCGAGTGAGTTCGAAAGCATGTTAGCGATACGGCCAGGAGTGGATAGCAATCAATAAAGTATGATGGAAAACCATCGGTGAATGGCTCGCAACGAATGAAGAAGTTTTGGCTAGCCAAAGGTTCAGAGAGCAGCACCAACCTGACAACAGTGGCCTACTAGAGCCTCCCAATGAACATGACAACTCTGGTAGGCGGAAGAAACAAGCATGTTACACCCAATTGTATAAGCAGTGTGAATGGTACCACTGACAAGGGTAATGTGTCTAGGGAATCACTAGAATTTACTCTCATGCATCAGGTACAACAACCCTAGTAGACAGTGGCATAGACTGCAGCAACTATACAGCATTACCAAAATTATGCTTGTGAGTGCTCAAAAGACAGATCCCAGGAGATTCTGGAAATGTATCTCTAGAGCGATGAGGAGGAGGGCTACATTTTCCAATATAGACCCCAAAGCTTTTTTGTCCCACTTTACAATCTAAACATGAAAGTATATTTATAGCATACTAGCCACAGAGAATGGAAAAGAAAGAAAGAAAACCAGAAGTCACCCTCCACCCCCCATCCTCCACCCATACACAGTCACAACAACAGAGAATGACAGCTCTGTAGCTCTCCCTCAGTCTGCAACTCCATCACCTTATATCCCAGAATTGGATGATGATATAACAGAGGAAGAAACCAAACAAGCAATTCTTCATCTGAAATCAAATAAAGCACCTGGCCCGGATGACATTTCAGGGGATGTTTATATAGTTCTGAATGGTTTATTACTCTCCTGCATTACAACATTATTTAACCTTATTCTCCATTCTGGCACTTACCCTAAAATCTGGACAGTCAGAGTTATTACACCAATACATAAAGGTGGTTCCAAACAAGACCCCTCGTGTTATCGGGGAATTACTCTTCTGAACAGCATGGGGAAAATCTCTACATCGATTATTAGCACAAGGCTAACGGAGTGGGCAGAGGAACATGCATTAATACCAGAATCTCAGTTTGGTTTCAGAAGAGAACAGAAGAACAGAAGAACGACTGACTGCTTATTCACATTAAACACTATAATTGAGCATTATAGAGGAAAACAAGTAGCTACCACTGTATGTCCGTTACGTTGACCTGATAAAAAGCATTCGACTCTGTGAACCGCTCGCTTCTCTGGGTGAAGCTGGCACAACTAGGTATAAGCAAGCAATTGCTTACCTTGTTGCAATGTATGTATGCTAATGCAAAGTCATGTGTGAAAATTTCCAGGGTTCAAATCACAGCAGGTTTTCCCTGCCAGAAAGGTGTTAGCAACTTGAGCCCACTGTTGTTTAACTTGTTTACTAGTGACCTAGAGCTGGAACTGTGAATAAACAATGCTGGGGTTGAGATGTTCAACACCCGTTTGGACCTACTCATGTATGCAGATGACATTATATTGCTATCCCAAAGTGCATCAGGCCTTCAAAAACATCTTAAGTCTCTACAGTCATTTTGCCAGAAATTGAAACTTAGTTATGTATATTTGGAAGAAGCAGGTATCAGGGATCATTTCTTTGGAAAGACTATCATCTTGAGACAGTACAGACATAAATTGTTTGGTACCTTGGAGTTTGGTTCTCAAAAAATAGTAAATTCAATAAGGCAAGACAACACATTTCCCAATAATAGTAATAATAATAGTAACATGCTACTGAGTTTAGAGGTAACTATAATATTTTTTAGTTATCTCTTCCGCGGTAACTATTTCGCGGCCCTGCGGCAGTTTTCTTGTGCGTATATATTGGTCATGGCGTGCAGAAGGCAAACAGAGCTTCTGGAGAGGTTTTCTCACGAAAACCATACTCGGTCTTCTAGTAGGAAGCGGTGCATGCATGACTGGCAGCTAGGGACCTCTCCTCGGTTCTTTCAGCTGCCAGTCGTTGCTGCTGCGAAACCCCGAGATGATGCAGACGAGCTTCTCTCGGTCATAGTGGAGTGTGTGTACTACTTGCATTCTTTAGGCCAGTGCTATTCGCACCTTAGTTTGCTTGCCGCCCGGATGGATCATGATCGGAGCCGGACCTCGTCTAGGGCTGGGACTAGGGCGTCGATTGGTTAAATCTGTCGATGCCCTAGCCCTATATTATTATGCCTAGACGAGGTTTGGCCCCGACCATTATCCGTCTGAGTGGCAAGCTATATAAACGAGGTCCGGCTCTGATCACGATCCATCCGGGTGGCAAGCATCCTAGACTAGTCCTAGGTGCTAACAGAAAATAATCAGGAATGTGACAAAAGAATGCAGGTAGTACACAGGCTCCACCATGACGCTTCTCTCGTCGGATGTTTCAGCAGCTAGCTATATATAGTCGTTGCCGTTGACAAACCCGAAGGCGATGTAGACACGTTTCTCGCAGCAACGTTTCCATTGCTCTTGTTGGATGGTCATTAGTTTTCAAGGATGACGCCGTGCTTGTTCTCGCGCTCGGCGTCGTGACAAGCGCGTTTCACTCTCTTCGGCAGTCGCAGAGGCCAGACACCACCTCCAGGGAGCCCGATCCCATGCTCGACATTGAGACAAGCGCGTCTCTCGCTCGTGCAGTGTTTCGCTAAACGTAGAAGCTTCCTATGCGAATGTTTAAAGTGTGAATACCTACGTAACAATCTGGAACAAGTAATACAAGCAATGTGATACAAGTGGCTTTCATCAGAGCAGAAATTCGTCTACTTACAAGAATCTGATATTAAGAAGATTAATGATGCAGTGGCATATTTTATTCATACCGCTTTCTTATTACATTGTAGATAGTTTGACTAATAGCCTCCCTGGCTCCTCTTTGTCATTAAAAATTATTATTGTTGTTATTATTATTATTATTATTATTATTATTATTATTATTACAAGTACAATGCGAATTAAAAAGTGTGGAATATAGGGATGCCATAAAAAGCAAGGAGACAAGACAGGGATGACCTGGGCATGTGATGCAGTAGTACAATGGGATGATTGTTACATCTTCAAACTGACATTTCTTGCTCATGTAAATTTTACTCCACACAAGCCCTATATTGTCGCCACTCTTACTCATGACATGAGTTTTGAATAGTGTAGTGTGAAGACTGGCAAACGAATTCTGTAGGGAAAGCAGCATTGTAAAACCGGTTAGTTGAGCGAACATTGAAGTAAACAAAGTCACGATTCAAAACTGAGGACCTGTCAGAGAGGGCATTTGCTACCAGTCTTACGTGCATAGGAAACGAGTCATAGCTGCACATCATACGATAGAGATCACTCGTGCTTTGCGACAATATAGGGCTTGTGTGGAGTAAAATTTACATGAGCAAGAAATGTCAGTTTGAAGATGTAACAATCATCCCATTGTACTACTGCATCACATGCCCAGGTCATCCCTGTCTTGTCTCCTTGCTTTTTATGGCATCCCTATATTCCACACTTTTTTAATTCGCAGAATTTTTTATTTACTTGTCTCCTTTCCTTTTTTTACGGAATGCACATACATTGGGGCATAATGTCCATATAAAAAGTAACATGTATCTATTGCCTCG